TTTTTTTTTTTTTTTTTTTTTTTTTTTTTTTTTTAACAGTGGCGTATATTGTACGATAAAAGTGTTGGCGAATAAATACTTTGCTTGTGCAGTGTGTTCCTTGATCTAAAAGCAAGGCAGAAAAGGAGTGGTTTAAAACATTACTGGTCGCAAGTCAAAACACCTTCGGCAGTGGTGCACTTTCTGAACCTCAGTGGTTCTGAGGAAAAAGGTAAATTAAAAAACACTTATACGCTTATTCTTTCTGCTTTTCTGCCAGGGAATGTCACCATGTTATTGAAGGACAGGTTGGTCATTTATGGCAATTCTTTTATAGTCGCTACAGTCCAAGTCGAAGTAGGATCAGGTGGATTATTCTAGTAGTGTTTTAATGTCTGAAATCTTTTGCTTTTTTTTGTGTCCAGGGTATTTCAGCTAAGCAAAAAAGAAAGAAAGGCAAACAGTTTAAGGCAATTTCCGGTAAAGAAGTACCAACAAATGCGAGTGTGGTAGAAGACGAATTGGCCAAGGGTCAGGAAGACATGGAGAATTTATCAAGGAATCAGGTCAGGTCTGCCAGAGATGTGTCGGAGCGTTGTTCTTTGCGAAGTAACTGATATTAAATGGAGCAGTCAAATAACAAAAATAACTTAGCTGTGCTCTGATTATCCAGTTTTCAGCAGTGATTCTGTCTCATCGTGGTTATTTAGAAGTGAGAGTAAGCCGCGGCACAGGCGTTGCAGTAATACTTACGTCACTTTTCTGGCAGTATTGCTGCTTTTAACGTTATCCAAGTAACCAGTTGCACTTATCGCTCTCTCGAGAACTTCTTACTGAGTTTTTCCGTCGTTCATTTTTTAGTTATTCAGCTTGTGTCGTACCAACACCACACTTCTAGGAAGTGGGATATTCATACGCCGTTTTGCGGTTGTTCGTTGGTCCTTGTGAATTTACTGAGATGTGGATGTCCTATTCTTTCTCTGAGGCTTTTCGTGTATTATTTTCGTGAAATAAGGTCATTCATTTTTTTACGTAATTTTTCTTTGCGAACCAGCACGATGTTATCTCTTCGGCTAGACTAGATATCTCAGCTAGAGGAGCAAAGTGTTTCAAATGACTATTTCCAGCATATTTGCAGTTCCGGATGTACCTTGGAATGACGAAATTTGATGATTATGGAGTGATTTTAAGGTGTAGTCTCTGGCTACTGGTAAGGATAAACTTGCAGAAAATAATTACGACGTCGCATCCTCGTGCTTTAAACTGCCAAAACTGTCTTCAACGCGTTGAAAATTGTTATTGACCTTCCGCACTAGCTGTTAGCGAATCGAATACCGTGGGAGGAACCATCTGGCAAGATGCAATGTTCCTCTGCCACATAATTACCAATAATCGACGTACCTTTAGAATTCCTAAATATTTTCAAACGTAGAAAAATTCCTTCCTGTTAGGTAACAATTGCGCATAGAGAAGCCATCATTAATTGCGTGAAAGTGATGTAATGCGGAAGAAAAAAACTGTTGGTTTCGTAATACGTTGAACTATTATGGATTTTTGTAGTCTTTTTGAAATGCTTGACTGTTCTAAAGCGATAATTATTTGCTCCAGTAGTGCGAAGGGGACGGAAACTTGGTTCACGCTTGTTATAATGACACACCGTGGACGAGCCTCTGGACTTCCAGATGGAAACACAAATACTTAACAGCTCTCCCCATGGTTCGCTTAAGTTGTAGACGTATATCGCTACATGAACAAGCGCGGTATAATAGCTTTAGCCAGGGCATGAGAAGAGCACTTGTAGATTTAGTTGAAGGGTATTTCAATTTTCTGATTTATTGTTCAATCTTATTTTATTCTTGTGTTGTATACCTACATTAGTTAAAGCTTTTGAACTTGTATGATACAACGGCCTGAGCTTTCAGTTTTAAAACATGTTTCGCGACCATTTCCATATTCTGGTGATAGTAGCTTTATGCTTTGGCCATTTTGTCAATATGGCAGCTACCCCTCATGTCATGCCGGGCATAAAGAATGCGAGTAATGACGGGAAAAATCGCAATGCTATTCTGAATGGTTTGTGTCAGAGTAAAAGTGTTTGCATGAATCCACCTGTACTATGATTTTGTCTTAAAATTGTTGCAAAAAAATATCATTGGAAATTTTTCGTTTAGTAGAAATGAATTCCTCATTCTTTTATCTTTTATAAAATTGAGTTTGGCAGACTGTTTGGCAGCTTTGCAGATGCCGGTCACATTGTGTCGAAGAGGTTTGCGGAAGTGGAGGTTCCAGCTGGGCATCAAGATCAAACTAGAGATCTCTTTATTCGCCTGATAAGTCGGTAGATAAAAAACTTACGTCTTTTTTGAAAGGAAGTTGTTTCCTACCAAAAAAGCTATCGTTGAATGATTCCGTAGGGAATGACTCGGCGATATCTCGAAGTAAGACTGAGGACTCTTTAGATCAGTCGTTTTTGAAAATATTTGGAAACGATGGGGCACCTGCAGTCAACAGTGAAGGCGTGAAGACGTCAAAGGCATGGCTAGGTCAAAGAAAGGTAGGTCTTGCTGTATTTCTGAGGTTGTTACTGGCTACTGGTATGGATCGATAAATAAACTTTCTCCTAGTTTAATTTTTTAGACAATTGTTGGGGGGTCTTTGAGAGAGCTGGATAAGGTGGTTCATCACTGTGATGCAAACTGGTTGTAAAATAGTTCATTCATTCTTGTAATATTTCTTAATTTATTTGTTAAACATTTTACTAAACTGTTTTTTACAGATTTAGGTCTTGGAGAGATTACTGGTACCATCGGGACGCTAAGCGTCATCCCCATCGCTTCAGCGCTGAAATCATGGATTGTAGGACTCTGAGCCATGCGCTACTTCTTCAGTTCATTTATGTTTACACAGCTCGGGCATTGTTTCCCACGTTTCTTCTTGTGTGTGTAGGGATTGAGAACACGTTACTTTCGTTTTGTTCACTGCATTAAATTTCATTGTTTGTTTTGAGCCGTACTGTTTTAGCGGAATTTTCTATGTAGTGGCGGTGATGTTTCATACTGTAGAGGCGATTATAAATAAAAGCATCATCGCTGCAGGGTTATCTTAACCTACATCGAAATTAATGCAAAAAATTTTTAAGCGAGTACAGGCTAATTAATCAAGGGGGTTACTGGGCTGTTGGGCGAACTGGGAGGGCTCAATGTCACACTGACAAAAGTCGAGTGAACTTTCTGCTTGTTTTATGTAGGAGGAATTGCAACAAAAGCAGTTTCCGCATCAACAGCGTTGATGTTTATAGGCTCGAAAAACTTCTGTAGGGCTTGATAAAACTACTGCCTTCTGTAGAGTTTCTTAAAAGTTTATTTGTTCTGTGATTTCAGAGGAATATAAAGAGGCATCTAGACTTTCACAAATTTGCATCTGTTTTTGGGCCTCTAGTGCAATTTGTTTTAATTATTTCACAAAAAGATCCACTGGTCCTGCACTTTTCAACGTTAACGTTCTTGGTGTTGTCGTAGGGCGGATTGTAATTAAGGTTTATTTTTAAAAGTTAAAATTTGCCGAGTAACAAAGTGCAAATTGGAATTCAGAGGAGGGTCAGGGATGAAAAGCTTTCTTAATGAAAAGTCAGCTTGAGAAGCTATTGTAGAAGTCGTTACTATTGATTTAACTAACACGCTCATGCCACCTCCCAGTATTATGGAAGTCCTATATTTGAAAATGGGTTTCCTTTATTTAAGTCAGTGCCTAATGTATTCTAAAAAATAACATGTTTTGAAAATCTGCTACAAAATTTGCTAACTATAAATGTAGGTCGACGTCACCAGCTTCAGAATCCTTAGCCTAAGGTTGAAATAAACCTGAAGTGAAGAATTGAGGTCTTTTGGAAAAGTTCCGATTATTAAGCACTAAAGTGAATGCATTTTTTGTGGGGAAGTTTAAAAAATTCAAACTGCCGCTAAAACGAATGGAAGGTGAACAAAAATGAGTATCACAATTAAACGTTTAATGTGAAAATGTTTTCAAATTATCGCTCGTCATTTGCAAACTGTCGTCACCTGAGGTTCGTCACTTCGTCCCTTTCCGAAAAAGGAGCTTCTCGTCACCAGATTTGCTGAAGTTTTAACAGTGTTTGAGCGCTAAAAATGTCCAAAGTCTCCTTGCTATTACTGAGCAGAGGTGATTGACACCTGGAACTGCCGACCACGAGGTACTCTAAAGTATATTAAGCTCACTTGACAAATACCAAACGAACATTCAAAAAATTAGAATTCATACCTTATTAAAAGTTTGTAATATTCTTGCACTTTTTTACAGTCTTTCTAAACGGTTTAAATCTTCCAGAGGGCCAAACATTTGTTGCGACCATATAAACGAGGCCAAAAACTAAATTCACACCCTTGAGACTTGAGACTTCACAAACCAACCTCTCAACCTCCGATTGAAAACATCAATGGTTTATCACTTTCACCGCGGTCTGCTTACGTTTTTGACGCATGTCGTCACACTAATAAACCCAGTATAAAAGCTTCAGCTCTGTGTTCCATACGAACAGTTACAGATCTAACCGAATGATTTTTTGGTTTGTTGTGCATAGTTCAGTTACATTTTCTGCTTATGTTCTATATTTGACAACATCTGTAATTTTTGAGCTCGCATAATAGAAGAGTTTTCAGGCTTAAGTCATGTTTGCTGACTATTGCTTTACTCTGTTGATACTGATGTTATGCTCTGCTCCTTTTGCCGATATGGCAGCTGTCGGTCATATTGCGCTGAGCACAAAGAATTTGGACAGTAACGCTGAAAATTTCAGGGAGAGTTCGACCGGTGAGTGTTTACATCAATTTTATTAAAGTCTGATTATTTAAGTGAGTGGTCAGAAACAACTACTAGTAGAAATCTCTAGCACAGTGAATATAGATTTTTTTCCTGCTATGTGTTTCTTACAATCATTTTTCAACAACGTAACCAATTGCTTGTAGATGGAGGTCAGCTCACGTTGAAACCAAATGAGCGACGTCATAAAACCGGAATTCTGGGTCGTCAACTATCCTTGAAGAATTCGGCAGATGAGGACCCAGATGACCCCAAAAAAAGAACTGACGATTTCTCAGAGAGAATGATGTTGTACAATGGCGTGCTTCCGTCCCTGTCTCGTGATAAAACTGGTGGCGTTCTGGGCCATTCTATTTTGCAGAGGTCTGCAAACGAAGAGGCACCTGCAGTTAACGATGAAGCTAAGAAGACGTCCAAGGGTCTGGCTAGGTCGAAGAAAGGTACGTCTTACTATAATTGTGAGGTTGTTAGTGGCTACAGGTATGGATCGATAAATAAATCTCTGGATTTTTAATCTGTTAGAAAACGGTAGGAAGGTCTTTGAGAGTGCTGGATGAGGTGGTTCATCATTGTGATGCAAACTGGTTGTGAAATAGTTTACTAATTCTTTTAATATTTGAAACTTTACGCGTTAAACGTTTTACTGAAGTATTTTTTACAGAAATGAGTCTTGGAGACATTACTGGTACCATCGGGACGCTAAGCGTCATTCCCATTGCTTCGGCGGTGAAATCGTGGATTGTAGGACTCTAAGCCATGTTCTATGTTTTCAGTCCATTTATGTGTATACAGCTCGGGCATTGTTCCCCACGTTTCTTCTTATGTGCGTAGAGGTTGGAAACACGTTACTTTTGTTTTGTTCATTGTATTATTTTTCATTGTTTGATTCAAGCCC